TTGCTCCATTAAGGTGACACAATCAACGACGCTAACTCTGTCCAGAGCGACCTGATCCACTTGGCGCTCAAGCGGAGGCTCAAGTCTACTTATGCACTTCGAAATATTGTTTCTGTGATTTATGTAATTTAAGGGCATCTTTAAACTAAGCGCAAGATGTATTTAGCAATTATATATTACAGCTGTGTGGTGCAAAATGTAATCTTGGATATTTTTTGTGAATAAAATATGAAAAAGGGTTACAAAAAAATATCTTTTATTTATTTTAAGTTAAAAATATTCGTATCAAATATTGTCATTTTGTTATCAGGCAAGGTTTACCCATTTCTATAATAATGGCATTTACGGAAAAGTATTATTATTTATTTTGTGAGTTAAATTACTAATTCATATGCTCGATTGATTCTCTCTTAATATCTTCTTTACTACTAACTTGCTTATTTGCTATATTATTTATATTTCAAAATTCCCTAAATAAGGTAACTAGCTTCAAGCATCTGTTGACTTTTCCTTGATGAATTTTTCCGGGTGTAAGGCAACTGCCATCTCTCTCCGCCTCCGTCAATTGCTTTGTTTTTCTTTCGTTGGTTTTCTTTTTGTTTTTGCAATGTTTATTGTTGCTACTGTCACACAATCGCCGCTGGTTGGTGGTGCTTGTGCTGGTTGCGGTGGTGGTGGTGGTGGTGGAGATGGTGGTGCTGCTTCCAGCGGTGGTGCCTTATGTAAGCTCTGAATTCTCTGGGCCCTGGACATCCACTTCTGCGGTTGCATTCATCATCGTCATTAGTGTCCAAAAATGAAATGATTGCAAATATCAGAAACGCAACAGAAGAGCACTCCACTTGTCAGTGGAGCAAGTGCCCCGTGTTACCAGCTTTTCCGGGGGGAGGGTGGTGCACCACTTGTGGGTGGGTGGCTTACTAGTGGTTCGGTAGACTTGGGGGAGCAGTGGTTCACGTTGCCATAGACAAAAGACAAGAGTTTTACTTTCGTTTCATGTCGGACGAAGTACACACATTTCACTAGGGGGTTCGCCTCTTTTGCCTTTGTTTTTCCCCATATTTTTTTTTTTTTTTTTTTTGTTTATTTTTGCAATCTGAGGAAGGGGCGGAGAACCTATCCCTTGCACTGTCCATCGCCAGATGCCACGCCCCCCGCCGCCCAACTGCAGTCACTTTCTGTGGGCGCCCATTGCGCAATCATAACTATGTGCACTTGCCTAATGCTTATATCCCCCCTCTCCACCAGAAAGATCCCCACAAGAAAGCCCCCCACTGACTCCATTTACCGCCAAAAAGCGTTGGGCAATCCAAAACCGAGCTATCCGAAACCACTGAAGGAGGAAAGTTGAAAAGCGGATGTTAACTAACGCCAAAAGTTGCGAAAACACTCACCGAAGTCCCCTCGATTTAGGGTTTACTTACTATATAGTATAACCATTATTAATACATGATACAAAAGAGGTATTTTTGATTACTGGATATCCTTATCTAAATCTTGTAATTTAAATTTAATTATACCAATTCATTTATTATTCATTTATAAAGTTTTCTTTATTTCTAATGTGGAAGTAATATATTTAAAATAAAAACTGAGATCAAACTAAGTCTATCAATATTTTATTAATATTAAATAAGTTTTGTCTAGAACTTTACATGGGTTTCATCTCATTTCTCCGATCTGTATCTCCATTAAATTATTTACGAAACCCAAAATCAAACCAACCATTTATTAATACGGCAGCAATATAGTAACATCGGAATCAATCTTCGTTTTGTGATAATCAAAATCCCATCAGGCCTTTTGGCTTGTAAGGCCGTGATCTGAACTAGTTTCCTATGGAAAACAAATGCTTCGAACTGGAGCACAGTTGTCGATGTATGATTTGGCTTTGGGGGGCCAAAGCCTAAGGTTGATTTGCTCATTGGCGGAAAAGGGGGGAAAATACGAGTGGAAGGGAATGGCCCGTGGGCAACGGCAGCAGCGACTCAGAACATTAATCTCGCAAGTCTGGGCTGGAAATTAAAAATAATAAAGCACTAAATGGAAAATGAAGCGCGGCTGCCGAGGAATGGGGGGTTGGCCAAGTTGAAATCGGCTGGGATGGGTGGCCATGGCCATGGAATTGGATGGGCAGCCAGGGAGCAACCTCAGATGCAGCAATTCGCTCTGCTTCGCTGCGTCCTAGATTCTCCCAGCACTCCGTTTTTCCCAGCTTTTCCCCGAACTTGTTGCGTGTGCCTTGGCAAGTTGATTTCCTTGTTTGTGGTCACTCCACACTGGCCACCACACTACTCGCTACTCCAGTACTCACTACTCACTACCCAGTACTCAGTACTCAGTACTCACTAACCATTTGTGGGCGTTGTTCGCGGAGGAGGCGGAGGAGATAGCAGCACGTGGCTGTGTTGCCAGATAAGACACTGAAGAAAATACCCTTCAAGTTTACAAAATCAAAAACAAATTTAGTTTTCCCTATAAACTTTAAGACCAAAACAAATTTTACAATTTGCAAGTTTGCCAAGAGCAACAATAAATGACAAGTTTTAACAAAGGCTTATATAAATCTTATCTTTAATCATTTCTGTAATATATTTTGCTATAAAATTCATTATTAAATTAATTATATTAATCCATTTTTATATATTAATATAAATTTCTATAACCATTTACATTTGCTGGTTAAAAATATAATGAAACCCTAAAAATGATTTAAAAAATCCGAAATAAATTATAAATAAAATGTTACTATATTACTTACATATTTTCCTAATAAATAGCAAATGATTCCTTTTTAATTTGGTTTCTCTCAGTGCATTTACTGATTGTACTTGCTACTAGCTGGTCAAGCAAGCGGAACAATGGGCGTCAGAGGAGCCGAAGACGAGGCTTTAAGACCAAGCCCATCGACCATCGACCATCGAGCATCCACATCCACAACCGCAACCAAGTCCATATCCATATCCACATCCACATCCACAACCACATCCCATTCCAGCTGCACCACTGCCACCACCAGGCAGCCACTTGCACCAGCGATTTTCTAATTAAATGTTGCCACAAGCCAACTGATGGTTGCTTTTGGTATTTGGTAGCTGTTGGCCAACCAGCGGGGAAGAGAGCTCTTTGGCAAGATCGAACATGGATCAATCCGTGAACTCAACTCGACACTTTGACATGGCCGACAAAAATTTCAGTTGGCCTCCGGGGCAATAAATGCGTCGCAAATCGCAGCCTCTTTGGAGTGCGGAAATTGAGGCAATCGAACTGGACTGGAAAAGATAAGATAAAAAGTTTAAGGAAGGAAGCATCTTCCTAACTTTTAAATGAATTACCTAATGTAGCCAATCAATGGTAAATTAAGTTTAGTGAAAGATGAACTAACAAATGTAAGAGCTTTTATGTTGATTTTTTAAATGTTTGTCTTTATAAAAAAACATATAAAATTTACCATAATTTATGTTTAGTGAAAACAAACCAAACATACCATTCCTTCATTTAAACCTCCAACAATTATTGTTCAACTGAGCACTGTGTATTCTATCTTTTTGATGCAATCCACACAACCTAGTTGTATCTCTTCTGTACACTTTATCTGTGCCGTTCCTCTGGAGCTCCAACCATCGATCCCCTCACGTGAGCTCCATTCGATCGATCGCTTTTTGCCCGGAGCACCCTGCCAGTGGTCACGCCGAGTTCTCCGGTTTCCAGATCGCTTGGATTGCTCGACTGCACTTTGCTCGCAACCCAATTCGGTGTCACATGCCCCTCCCCGCCTCCTCACCTCCCCCCAAAATGGATCTTAGCCATTGGCCATCTTGCGATGATCATTAGCATGGGAGGCTGGAGCATTTTGCATTTGGCCCACATGTGTCACACACATAAAGAGCGAGAAATGTGCGTTGGTTGGACACTGAGAAATGGAGAGAAAAAAGAACTGGGATGCTGCAGTGCATCCATGAATCTGGATTCTGCCAGCTGCTCCAATTTTCCTGACCATTTGGCTTACTTTCCGAACCGGCAGTTCGTGTGGCATGCAAATGCACGGCATTGTGCAACGTTGGATGTCCAGTGTTCAGTTTTCAAACGTCTATTCTAAGCTGAATGTTCACGTCCAGTTCCAGGTCCACAAATCCACAAATCTACTGCTCCACAGCTCCGCAGCTCCAGCAGGTTACCGAGACCTGATCCATCGAGGAATTCTTCTAAATTGGTCCACTCACTCACACACAAGCGTTTATAAAACGAGGAAGAAAGAATTGTGCACTGGGGCAAAATGTCATTGCAAACACCAACATTTAAATAAAAATAAAAATATACATACATTTTCTGTAAATATTGCAAAACTAACAGTAGTTGCTGTTATCAGCATTTGAAAATAATATGGAACCTATTTCATGTTTAAATAATGTTATTGGCATGTTAACATTTAACCTTTTTAAAGAGTATTTAAATATCAATAAATGTTTTATTGTCTCTGAAAACATTCAGAAACAAAAGTTCTCAGACTTATTTAAAGTAAATGTAACCCTTTGTATTTTAAATACAAATTAAATAGATTTGTTTCTTTAGTTTATTGACAGCAAACGTAAATAAAATACAAGATTAAAAGAACAATAAATCTACAACTTTGTCGGCTTTTATTGACGGATCGACCCCAAAAGTGTTAAAGAGATAAGCCGATAGCCGAGTTCTTCGATTTTTCTTAGTGCTCCGTTACAGTTGCATAACCTGTATTAGTTGTTATTACCGTTTTGGAGATGATGGCCCGCGAACCGATTGGCTTGGCCATTGATCAGCTAGACCCTGAATGAAGGGGAAGGGGGGAAAGAAGAAGAAGGGGAAGGGGGCACACACTTGGCACTTGCCACTTGCCAAAAAGCGCAGCAAGTGCTCACGCATGCAGCTGCGTCGACGTCGACAGAGGCAGCAGCTGCGACGTCGGCAGAGACAGGTAAACCAGGTAGCAGCTTACAAGACGCACGGTGCGACGTCTCCAACTTTCAGTTGCTTTCGAGCTGCACAAGGCGACGGTTCAAGTTTTTGGTGCCTAACGGGGCAAACAAGAAAAACAAAAGAAATAAAAACGAGAAAAAGAAAGAGAGACTGTCTCCACACAGAGAGCCAAAGATTCGCAGCTAGACCGTGAGAGAGAGAGAGAGAGAGATAGAGAGCGAAAAGTGAAAGACCGAGAAACCAGCGAAGAATTCTTCGTGCGCGATCGCCGACTCCAAATAACTTCAGTCGCCCTGCAGAATTCCCAGCGATCGGTTCGTGCAGCGGATTATCGCGTCGCGAATATAACACTATAACTATTTTTTTTTTTTTAAGTTCGGTGCTCGTGCAGTGTGATCATTTATTTTTTTTTTTTCGTTTGTTCACCGAATATCGAACCCCACTTCCTGGCATGTCGAAACAATACGAAACTCGTGCCAAGTGCTAAAAGTTCCAGGGAAGTTCCAAGTGTGCGAAAACAAATTGCTAAATCCAGCGAAAAAGTATTCAAACCACCAGCTTAAGAAACCCTTTAAAAATAATATTTAGAAAAAATAAAAAACTAAAAACAAACGGACGGACAGCTGGTGTTGGCAGCAGGTGTGAGCGAGAGAGCAACAATGCACCGCACGCAGCCGTCGCTGCCGCTGCTTCTGCTGGCGTTGGCGTTGGCGTCGGCGTTGGCTTTGGCGCAGGCGCAGAATATAGGTGAGTGTGTCAAGCGAAAGACGAAAACAAGAAAGAAATGCTGCAAAAGGTGCCAGAACGGCCAGCGGATACCCTGTTCCTTATAGGGGATATGCGTTCTTAAAAAGGATATGTAAAAAAATGTTCTCAAAAAGAGACATCGAAATTTGGGAGCCTTAAAGTTGAGTTCTTCTGTGAAGAGATTTCCTTAGGCATTTAATTCTTTAAAAATAAGCCCTAAATGTATTTCTTTATTCTCAGCAAAGATAAGTAATCGAAAAACTGAGACAACAAACTTTTTTTATTTGTTTAGATTCCTTTTTCTTAAACGCTTTTTCGGGGACCAAAAATTATAGCCACTGTTATTTAGGCAGTATACTCATTTTTATAAATTGTGATTATATCGAAAAAAAAAATTTCAAGAACGAAAAATAAGGGATTTAACTGAACATTTTTAAAAATGATCCGTGAAAAATGTATTAATCTTTGATTCATTTTTGCCCTGAGCTCTTTTTAGTTACACACTTTAGCTAACCCAATTATAGATCTCCACTACAAAACAAAACACCTTCAGAAATGATATTTAACTGCAGCCTTGACATGTGGGAACTTTTAGGGTGGCTAACTTTAAATCAAGCTCATTTGCATAAATTATGAAAGCTTAATTAGCAATGGTTTAGCTCTTAAATCATTCACAAAACCTTCCGACACATAGACAATGCATTCATCGGTGTGATCCAACTGGAAAGCATTTAGACAACTGTTTAATTAATTTATGTGGCCACAAAACGTTGGGAATTTATAACTGAGCAGCGTTTTTTTTTTTGGTAAAGCGAACACTCAAGCAATTAGTCAGAAGATTGCACAAGACGAGATAATAAATATTGAACCGCCACTCAAACAGAAACGGGATCCAATTCGCATTTAAGCGATAAGTTGCACATGCCCCATTTTTTAGGGTATTTGGAAAAAAAAACCGCACCAACGGCACTCCGGAGAAAAAGCAAACAAATTTTCTCTCGTTCTCGTTTGTTGTGGATTCCACTTGTTGCTGTCGCTCTGCTTCTTCTTTCTCCACATCTTTCTCTGCTTTCTTGTTTTTGTTTTTGTTGTTATTCTTGTTGTTGCCCATTTTCATCACCCATTTTTTTATTTCGTATTTGCGGCGCACCTAAAATAAAGCCGATTCTCTTCTGTGTGTGTGTGTGTGTGTTATTTTTTCACATTTAATTTTTTATTTTGTTTTTGCATACACACTTTTTTTCGGCTGATTGTTGCTTTTTTTGATTTCCGGTTCTGGTTCGAAACAAAAGCAGCGTTTTATAATTTATATTATTTTAAGTTTGGCTGCCTTTGCATTTTTCCCACGTTAATAAACGGGCGTCCAGGCTGTCCGCTGGCCAACTGGACTGTTGCCCATATTCCAGTTCCAGTTCCACTCCCAGTCCACTTTTGGGTTCCAGTTCCAGTTTTCAGCGGCGAGTCAAGTGCTCAAGTGCTCTCGGCCGCCGGTTAATTGTTTCGTGGGATATGCGAAAGGGGCGCAGGGGGCGTGCCACTTGGGCATTTGCCAGGAAACGGATGTTTGTTTGGGTCAGCAAACACTCGGCGAGCCCAAATGTGGCACACCAAAGTCTGAAGCAACAAGCTGCCCGCTGCACGTGGCAAGTGCACTGGGGGAAATAAAACGATTGCTTTAGGACTCGAATATTAGATCATCACAAACTCTATAAATTAAAATAAAAAGCCGACGGCAATAAACTAAATAATTGTTGAGTTCAATTTCTAGAACAAATTATTATCAACAATCTTTTTTTATATTTTTTTCTAGATTCAAAAGACTTAGGCAACAAACTTGCTTCTATAAATTTCAACTTCATTAAAAACCACAAATTGTATGCTTTCTTAAAACACAAAATAAACTTTTATAATATTTTTTATAATATTTTGAATAGGTTTCTTTAATGTTTTCTTTTAAATAAATAAACACTTACAATACTGGCAAGAAACTTTTTCCAAACTTATTAGAGCATAATTTTGTATCTGCTGTACATTATCATCTTCCTACTTTATTTATTATTACTATAAAGCTCAAAGTATCGATACTTCTTTGTGGGTCAAAAAAGAGAAACACCTGTCACCATTTCTTGTATTCAATTACTTGTAACATATCGAATTACATGAAAGAACCCAAATTGTAAAAAGAAAAAGGGTACGACTCACGAAGGTGAGAAGTGAAGGCATAAACTTTTACTCGAGACTTTTACCGCTGCAGCGGTGGAAAATCTTGTAAATTAACTTAAATTAATCACAGACAAAGGCAGAACATACAGAAACTGAAATTAAAAGAAAATTTATGATCTGCGCCAGCCATTCCACAATAAAAGCGACAACAATTGCAGTTGCTTGGCAAGAGAGGGAAAGAAAATCAAAAGACAAGCACAACATACAAATGCAAAAACAACAACAACAGCAACAACAACAACACAAACACAGAAATCTGTAATGTTGGGAAAGTTTTATTTCTGCGGCTTTCCTTCGTATTGTTGACAATAAGAAAAGTAAAAGTGGCAGGCAAAGATGGCGAATCCCGCTGGCTGGGATGATCGAGCACATGCCCAACATCTAATGGCCAAAACGTAATATGGTATGGGTTATGGGTATTGTGGGTATTATGGGGATTGGCATGGAGACTGAGGATTGGGGATTGGGGATGGGCATGCATGACCACCACAGCTCATCATAATCATCATCAGCGGCTGATGCGGAAGCTCGGCGCCCGCTTAATTGCAATGCGAAACTCTCAAAGAAAATATTATATATACAAGTACGAGTGTAACTACAAGTATGAGTACCAGTACAAGTATGAGTACCAGTACGAGTACAAGTACGAGTACGAGTATCTTTGTAACCGAAACGATACCGCTTGCCATCTGCCGATTGCTGCACAATGAACCGCAGCAATTTGTCTGCTTGAAAAGGGTGGTGCACGCATGCCTGGCTCCTTGCGGCATTTGCGGTCGCCGCTGCCTTTTTTTACATAATACCTTGGGGCCTTGCCACAAGGAAGTAGGAAGCCGAAGTCAAAGCTGAAACTGAAACTGAGAAACTATGGAAAATCAACTGGAAATCTGTGCGTGGGACAGACCTTCGCAGTGCGAAGGCAGTTTTCACTTTCAACTGCGAAAACTCATTAAGTCCATTCGCTCGATAATTATGATGTTGTTCATGCGGGTGACACTGCCTGCCAAAAATTATAGTTTCTCAACTCCAACTTGAGCATGTCCGACTTAACTTAACACATTTACGCAACTTTTTCGGTCTTGTTTGTGTATATTTTTTTCGCTTTTTGTTTTCTTCTTTTTATTGTTTTTGGTTATTTTTTTCTTAGCCCGGCTGCAATTGCCGCCTTGGCACGTAGGTGGCCTACGCGTGGGGGGTGGAGTGCTTTGGGGGAAGGGGGGGATGTGGTTTGGGGGCGGGACATTGCGCAAAAGCCGTCAATGGCCTTGCCAGGTACTCATGTACTCGATATGTAAATCATCGCCAGAGTGACGAGCATCAAAAGCAGGGCAATGCCAAATAAAATTCAACAAGAAACTGAGTTCATTTGGGTTGCATTCGGAGTTAAATATATTCAACGAAACGTTTGGAAAGTTAAACTAAAAATCAGAAATCCACACAAATTTTATAATTTTACACACCACTCAATTTTAAAATTCAATTTAATTTAGAAGCTATTAATAAGAAGGTAACAAGATTAAAACGTTTCCTAGTTTTTTTGCTAGATATTTATCCCCATGATTTTATCTGAATTTTATGGTTTGAAAATGCCATCTGTCTTCTATTTTTTAGCTACTTCAATTAGAATAAATCAAAGTTAATATTCCCCAAAGCCCTATCTCTCATCCATATTGTATTTTCCCGCAATAAATTACGCTCTGTGCGGAATGTGTGCGAAAACTTACACCCAATGCCAGTCAGTTGGTTAATGGGATTTCTCTGCTCGGTGATTTCATGCCGAAAGCCGGCGAAGAATTGATGAGACGAGGGAGTGTCTTCGTCATTATCCAAACCGATCCGATCTGATCTGATCTCATCGCAACTCATCCCCCAAACGAGCCATAGATCTTTGGACTGTCATTGTCGTTTCGCTGATGGGATTGTGGCATAAATTTCAATCAGTTTCGATGCCATTCAGATGAGTTTGTGGGCTGGGCATATCGCCCCACTGCGAAAATAGCGATTCTCAGGCGTGAGCGGTGTGGCGGCAGTATCTTTTTAATTGCCATAAACATAAACGGCATACTGCAGTTAAATATTTTTCATATATAGTATCTTGATCTCGCCGGCGACAACAGCACCCGTGGTCGTCGGTGGGCAACTTTCGCGTTTTGTTTGCTCGATGGCCAACTTGCTAGACGTCGTGTGTGAAATTTTAATGTCGCAGTGAAATGCTCGAAAAGTGAAACTAACGTCTAATAAATAAATGAAATTGTTTGCTATTAGCAGCGCATTTAAATGCCACCAAGAAAGCTGCGAAGAAAGAGAAACATGTTGAATACAAAACAAAAAAAAATAAATAAAAGTCAGTAAGCAGCTGGGGAAAAATGTTGGACAGAATTTATGCGATTTTTTCTTTTCTTTTCTTCTTGTACTTGTATTTTTTTGCTGTTTAATTTAATTAATTGTAATATATGTACGTAAGTGCAGTTGTGCCGTTGTTGGCCACCGCAAATTGGCAAATTGGCAAATTGGCAACCAACGTGATTCACGACTGCCGCCAATGCCAGTGCAAAGGCAAACAATTGAAATTGTTATTAATAATTGCTTTGTTAATAACTTTAAACGCCGCTGCTGCTCTTGGAGTTGCTGTTGTGCGTTTCGTCACTGGCCCCAAAAAAAAAAAAAAAAAAAGAAATACGGTTGCAAATTGCCATCCGAGCGAAAAGTGGAAAAATCAAAAACAAAATAGTCGTACATGAAAACGATCGTGAAATAGTGACGCGAGATTGATCGAT